ATAACTACAACAGAAGATACAGTGACAACAACAACAGGCCTAGTAGAGTCTGCTACTACACCCAAAGTTTCAATATTTGTACCAGTGACATCATCATTGCCAGCAACTGCATTGGGCACAACCACCGCTGCAACTGTTAGCAATGAATTGGAAACAATCAGGATAACTACAACAGAAGATACAGTGACAAAAACAACAGGCCTAGTAAAGTCTGCTACTACACCCAAATATTCTACTTTTGTACCAGTGACATCAGCATTGCCAGCAACTGCATTGGGTACAACCACAGCAGCAACTGTTAGCAATGAACCAGAAACATTCAGAATAACTACAACAGAAGAAACAATGACAACAACAACAGGTCTAGTAGAGTCTGCTATTACACCCAAAGATTCTAAATTTGTATCAGTAACATCAACATTACCACCAACTGCATTGGACACAACCAGATCAGCAACTGTTAGAGAAGAACCAGAATCAACCACAACTACTCAAGCTAAGGTTTTGTCTACTGTATTACATTCTGTGGCAGTAGATACAGCCACAACAGCAGTCCTTGAAGAGTCTGCTACTGCACCCAAAACTTCAACCTTGGTACCAGTGACATCTCAAGTCACAACAGAACCCTCACCAGCCCAAAACGAAACTACAACATTAATGTCAGTGAAGCCAGTAACAGTGGCTCATACCTTAGAAGTTTCCAACACTGCCAAAAGTGTGACACAAGAACCTAAAACACATGCTGACAGTGGTTCTTCATCAGCAGGAATAAGTACATTAAGAGAATCTGGTATAACAGAATCAACATTTGCTCCAACTACAACAGCACAAATAACAGAGGCATCATCACCTTTAACTGAAGCAAGTGAAGTAAAGACAACAACTGCAAGAACATCCAGATCTACAGAATCATCAGCGGAAACCCAAATAACAAGTGCAACCATTGCACCATCAGCAGGAGTGACATCAGCATTGCCAGCAACTGCAGCAGGGACAACCACAGCAGCAACTGTTAGAAATGAACCGGAAACAATCAGGACAACTTCAACAGAAGATACAGTGATAACAACAGGCCTAGTAGAGTCTGCTACTACACTCAAAGCTTCAACCTTTGTACCAGTGACATCAGCTTTTCCAGCAACTGAATTGGGCACAACCACATCAGCAACTGTTAGCAATGAACTGGAAACAATCAGGATAACTACAACAGAAGATACAGTGACAACAACAGGCCTAGTAGAGTCTGCTACTACACTCAAAGCTTCAACCTTGGTACAGGTGACATCAGCATTGCCAGCAACTGCATCGAGCACGACCACAGCAGCAACCGTTAGCAATGAACCAGAATCAACCAAGACTACACTAGCTCAAGTTTCATCTACTGTGATACATTCTGTGGCAGTAGGTACAGTTACAACAACAACATCAACAACAAGCTTTGTAAAGTCTGCTACTGCACCAAAAGCTTCAACCTTTGTACCAGTGACACCAGCATTGCCAGCAACTGCATCAAGGACAACAGCAGCAGCAACTGTTAGAAATAAACCAGAATCAACCAAGACTACACTAGCTAAGGGTTCATCTACTGTATTAAATTCTACAACAGTATATACAACAACGTTGACAACAACAACAACACTAACGTCAGTAAAGCCAGTAACAGAGGCTCATACCTCATATGTGTCCACTGTAGCACCAACAACAGAGGGCACAAATACTGATCCTCCTACCCTTGACGAGGGAAGCATATACTTAAGATTCAGTCTAAATGAAACTTTCAGTGAAATATATAACAACCACTCATCCCCTGAATTCATTGCATTGGCATCCCATGTGGTAACTGTGGTAAGTCTAACTTGTTTCAAACATTTACAAGCATAAATACCATTTACTTTTAATTATCTGATACACAGAAAGTTTTTTAACATTCCGTTTTTCTTGACTACTAACACACAATTCATGAAGTAATTCACCATTTTCTTACACCTAGAAACAAAATCTAAAAACTACACACCAACTTGTACAAACCTCAAACTTCTGAAACGAAATATTTAAAATCTAATATTTTAGGCAAAACTCTTTTGTCAGAATCAAACTCTGGCCTCATATGACACACAAACCTGACAAATGCAGAGACTACTCCACTACCTAGAGAACACTAGTTAGATCAATTCAAAACACTATTACAAAAACCTCCTTTTGGGAATCAGGAATTATTTTGCAAGTCAATGTCTATTACAGTATACTACATAAAAAGATGGGTGCAGATACAGTGAAATTTAGCAATAAGCTTTAAGAAAAGTTTTTTCCCCCAATATTTTTATTGGCATTTTTCAGGACAGTATGATTTTCACTTACATCAAAATGATCAACAAACAACAAAATGTCCTTACCATGTAAAACCCCAAACCTTAAACATCCCTACCAAGGGAGAAAACAGACATTTGCTAAAATAACCACAACATTAACAGCAGCTCTAAAATACAAGCATGTGGTAATGTTAGTCAGATGCGCATAAAAGTTGCAAGTGTTACTATAACAAACACTGCGTGTTTTCTTTCAGAATCATCATTGGCGTTTAGAAAGACAAAAATAGGTTACATAAAAGTTTTTACCTACAGTGAAGATACGGTGGGAATAATTACATTTTAGACACATTGTCAGTAATTTCGCCAACAAAAATAAGGAGAACTGTTGTGCATCTCTGATCAACACACAGAATCCACATTTTTAAACGAATCGACTGAATCAATGATTTAGTGAGCCATTCATAAAGGCAGTCACTTGCTTCGTTTCTGAATGAATCGCCACGGGGCCCGGTGCAACCCATCAGTTGCACCGCCCAAAGGATGGCCTTGGCTGGAAATTTGGAAGAGACAGAAACTTTCTCTGCCTTCCCTTGACAGTCGTTCTGCAAAAATACAGTACATGTGTGAACTACTTGGCTACAAATCAATTTGGCAGTTACGAGTTTGAGGGTGTACAACGTGCTACAGTATTTACTGTACACAGAATAGTGAAAGATCCCTCATCTTCTACTATGTACTGTAATTATAATGTACTGTATGTTTAAGTTGTATAAAAACCCTGTAGATTACCCTGTAGGCCAACTTCTTATCAGAAACAAATCTCCAGACAGACAAACAGGCAGCCATAGATAGATAGATAGCTGCCCACATTTCACATTGCTTTCTTTCTCCCTCCCCCTTTTGTGCAAATTACATTAGTGAAAAAATTTTCTTCCTCCATATTTTACACTATTGCATTTTCACAATCATGACAGAAAACAACAAACTGCAACAAATACGATAGAGAAATGTGTATTAATGAAACTACAAAAGCTAACTAGGTTCAAGTATTACAAGGAACCTATAATTTAATACAACTCGGCTCCCAAACAGAAATTCACGATTATAATGTGAGAAGTTCATGTGAAATTTCCAAGTAGGCTACTCATATTTAGGCTACTCTAATTCTGATAGCATGTGAAGACAGAATTAACGACAAAATGTAGAATTAACTGTAAAAGACATACACATACACAGTTGCTTGCGAGGATGGGGCTTAAATATTATAGAAATTAATTTAGCCCAAAACGTACTTATTCTATCCACATGGTCACTAGGTGGATCTAAAAGCTAAACAATGATACTCGTAGCATATCCACCCATTCTCCAAAACGCTTGTCCGGTGTAGGGTGGAGGTAATTGCTGAAGTCTGCTCATATCATGCTGAAAAGTTATTCCAAAAGCAAGTTAAATTACTTCAAGTAAAGATTTTTTTAATAGAAAAATAAACATAAAAGAGACATTATTCCTGTTATACTGTTCAAAATATCTGCAAATGCCAATATAATTAGCATTTTTATTCACATGAGAGGAGTGCATATTATTATTATTATTATTATATTAGGATACATTTCAGGCTGTGCTCTATTTATAATAAAAAATATATTTTTCATCACGTGCAGATAAACAGAATTTACAGGGCAAGCAATCTCAGAGGATACAGGCGATGCAGAGTCAACTCTTTCGTGTAAGCATGTCAGCTGTGATCTTTCAAATTCATCATAAAGATGTCCAGGATATGTGTAATAATTGGATCACATTTTTATAGGACACTGGGGGTTATTATTATGTGTTTGTTTGTTTTTTATTTCTAGGAGGGGCTCCATTAAAGTTGATATGACTCTTATCTTTGAGAATTCTTCTACAGTCCCAAGCTCATTTAAGGTAGAGGAAATTCTTAATGGGACCGCTGTGAATGGTACCATACTTTTGGACATCATACTTGATACTATCAAAGCAGGTGAGTGTGTGAAGTACAATTCACAAATTAGCCTAACAATGAAATCGTTAAAATGTTTCATGTGTGCACATTTTATATTACAGGGGAAGTAGTTACTTCTAGTACACCACCGCCTGCCACAAATGCAACTTTTGAATCTACCACCACGAAATCGAGTACCAATGGTATTTTCCAACAAATACTGTGTTTCATTGTTAAATAGTTTTTTATTTAATAATTTTAAATACATAACATACACTATTTAGAATATATCATGTAGTGTGTAGTGTACTGAACACCCCTGAGAACTCAATGCCATAGCTTATATTCTTATTTGATATTTTTCTGTACTTCTTACTTTTTCAGAGTACTCAATCACCACGTCTGGTGCCTTTCCATGGATGGTACGCTGTTCACTAATGACTATATCTCCAGCTATTACTGTTTTATTAGCACAAACTTTGATGTGTTTGTAATTTAAAGTGTACTAGGAAAGTTCACAAAAGAAATAAAATGAAGGATACTTTGTTTAATATATTTAAGCTGATTTTGTTAGTGAAGAATGGACAAATGTTGTAGAAGTTTATTTTATGATATAGTTTTTTAGTACCCAACTAAATATCTAGTAGGGTATATATTATATCTATACTGTATATCCTATAGCATAGTAGACAGATATAGTATTGTAATGAGGAGACGTGACAATAGGGTTGAGTATCTAATTGCAGGCTTTATTTAGAGTGTAGTCAGACAGGCAGGGTCAAAACACCAGCAAAACAGTACATCCAGGGTAATCCAAAAGAGTAATCCAAAGAACAGGCAGTCAATGATCACAAACCAGGTAAACAGTCCAAGAACAAAACACGAAGGCAAGGCAAGGCAAGACAAGGCAGAAACTAGACAACATAGGCTAAACAATAATCAGCAATGACTGGATGGTCAGCTGTGATGTGATGAGACTCTGGACGGGGGTTGTTGAACAATAACTTCTGTACAAAGAGTAAAAAAAAACAACAACAAAAAAACATACCTAATGCAGAAAAGCCATCTCTTTTTCCAAATTGCGAATTGATGACCACTATCTTTCTTTCAACTCTTCTGATACATTTTCAGTCAAATCGTTCTCTGTGTGCTAGATTGGAGCCAGTTTTTTATTCTCCTCATAACTGAGAAACTTATTTCTGATGTACCCGAACCAACGGGCAGCATGAGTGCAAGCTGCAGTAGTCTGAAAAAGTTTGGATATTTGTCCTTCCGTACTTCATCTTTAAGTTTCTCAAGAGTGATCGGCGATGCGATTGCACATTTCACAAGATCCATTTCAGCTGTCTCAAGCTGAGGGTGAATCTTAAGGCTTGCGTACATGCTTAGCAGAGGACTGATGCCGTTTTTCTCACAACTGAATACTGTGTCACACGCCACACTCGAGGCCAACGCTTCACGTGATTTTCGCCTGTCCAATTCAGCCAGCAGTGACTCAGTCCATCATATTTTTATTCGCGGGTTTATTAAAAAATGCAACGAATTTCCATTATTCAGTTAACTTGCTAAAGCGGGAAAACAATGAAAAGAGTGTCCTCTCATGTACAGGGCCGCATTAACCATTGGGCTAGGCGGGGCTGAAGCCCCGGGTCCCGAACAAGGAGGGGGCCCGTGATTGGCTGTGGGGTATTTTGACTGGTCATCGGTAGCGCCGATTGCCAAAGCCTCGCCCCTCACATATTAGCATGCATTTATTCTATATTTTTACTTTTGAATGACCTGTGCACCACGTATCAATGAGATGATCGCTGCAATGTCCGCATTCACCTCTCTTCACTTCGTTCTGGCATAATCTGGAAATGGTCATGCAAAGAACAATCTGCGATAAGTAAAAATGTAAACTATTCTAAAAGAAAGTGAGAGAGGGGCTATTTTTTAAAAAAACGAGGAGAGAGGGGAAAACATGAGTTAGTCAGTAAAATCCCCAGCTATCAGGTTATTTTACTAAAGCTGATGATGGAGTGGAAGTTGTGAAACAGCAAGTGGACCCGCACATGGAGCAGATAACTGGGCCCAGCAACTGCAGGGTTGCAGTATTGTTCCAAATATATGAAGAGTTTATTTGCAAAGACAGATAACTCAGTTTATTAAAATTTTCCAAAATCATGTTTTTTATTATGTTATCATGTTTTTATTGTCTTTTATTGTGTTAGTTAACTGTATTTGTTTTTAGTTTTTTTTACTTAATCAAAATAACCCAACTGCAGTTTGATTGAGAATAATTGGAATGCACAATGAAAAAACATAATTTTTGAAAATTGTTACAAATGGAGTTATCTGCTTTTGCAAATGAACTCTTCATATACTTTTACATTCAACAGCAGAAGGAAACTCATACAGGTTTAGAACAACAAGAGACCTTTACTTTTTGGGGGAGCTATTCCTCTAAAGCAGCCTAATTTATCTGCTGTTAAAATTTATGTCAATAATGTTAATCAAACATTAGAAAGAAAATCACTCACTGTCCTTGACACTTTTGTAAAATAAATAAGAATGAATGTATATTGAACTTATACAATGAAGACTATTCAGTTTATTTGTACAATTATTTTATACAATATAATTTCTTATTCAGTACTTTAAGTGTTTCAAGTAGGTCTATTTTTTGTAATTTGTGTCTGTTTACTTGTCTTAAGTATAAACTTGTTTTTACTCAGGCTAGTATTTTTATTTATTTATTTATTTTCTTTTTTTAATTTTGATAGGATAAAAATATATATTATATCAAAATATATATTATATTTGTAATAGGGGGCCCTGCAGAAAGTCATAGCCCCGGGGCTCTGTAAGGTCTCAATGCGGCCCTGCTCATGTAGCCTATCGCAACAAGTTAAGAATCATGATGAGTCGCGGCTCGCGAGGATGGGGCTTAAATATCATAGAAATTAATTTCGCCCAAAACTTATTCTATCCACTAAAATAATAAGATAATACAAATAAAATGAGAAAATATAAATTATCTAATTTTTATATTTTATTCATTGCTTAGACAAAATCATATTGCCCCCCCTGCCCCCAGGCCTCCTTAAACTTCACCTATGGTTTGGAATAAAGTGTACAAATTAAGGTGATTCACTTCATTTGTTTATTCTTATTAAACGCAAATATGTTTTGTTAACATCATTTAATTTCCTATTGTTATTTATTGTGAATTCTTTGTTATTAAAATTAATGCATTCTGACATGTACCTTTTTTTTATCCTCTTGGCTTTCTATAATTAACCCTGGCATTTTTGATCACACATATTAGGGTTTACACAATAGCAGGAAAAGGAGAGAATATAAGATATATGAGAATAGGGATGTTCTAACATCACCAGTTTATAAATTGGGTACAGGGATGATACCACCATATATCCTTCTCAGGTCATAGTAGAAGTTGTATTAATGTTATTAATTCACTGTGTATTAATGTAATGGATTTACAGAATGGACAAAAAATCAATCAATCAATCAATTTTGAAATAAAAAAATCAACATTCACCTTCGGGTGTCATCTGAATCAACATCATTCTCTTGTTTACTTTGATATACAGCATTTACTTAAAACATTAAAATAAACAGACAAATCTAGAAATATCCTGTCTGAGCAGATGGAGTGGGTTGTAACAGCACAGCCTGGTTGTAAAACTCCTTTTCCAATTTACTTCTACTGGACCCAAAAGATATATCATATCATATCATATCATATACAGTATATATATATATATATATATATATATATATAGATAGATAGATAGATAGATAGATAGATAGATAGATAGATAGATAGAGATAGATAGATACAGGGTGGGATTTATATATTAAAAAGTGTGTTTAAGCCTCTGTTTGAGTGAAAAAGTTAAAACACATATTTACACTCCCTGCTTTTTTATTGTTGCTTCATGTTTTCCACCCCACCTATTTTTACAGCTCGCCCCGGAAAATGGAAGAAACAAAATCACTCAAAATGTGCTTGTAAATTACAAAGAAACAGCAAGCAACACCAATCTTTGTTTTATTTACAACCTCAAAAAGGTTTTTTTTTACAGTGTAGGTTAGGTTGTAACAAACTCCTTGTACAGTTTAAAGATTCAAAACAAATGTAATTTGTAGCAGATAAATGACGAAAATGTATATCAAAGTTTGGGACAGTCAAAAAAAAAGTAGTTGAACCATACCCTACATTATTCATGCATTGTATTACATTGCACTTGACAGCTTGCCCACATCTCCCTGCAATTTTGTGTGATCTGATTTTTTCTAAAAGTAATTTTGAAGATATGGGAACAGGCCGAATGTCAGTTCTTCATGCTGTCACAGATCAAAATGTGGATTCATTTAGATACAGTCTTTATTTGTGAAGTTTTTGCAGCACTGAATTTACAAACGGAACAGGATTCCCCCTTCATTTTATTAAACATTAGTACTTCATAAAACATAATACAGAGCATTTATTAGAACATCTTTTATTTACTTAAAAGATTAAATACATAGATTTCACATCTTCAGAATATAACTAATACATTGGTAAAGATATTTGTGCCACTTGTCACTTGTGCCATTCCTGTGGCATAGAGAAATGTTCAGATTTGGTTTCAATAAACCAATCCTCATTATTTCTCCAGCCCAGTGTACACATGCACAAACAATGTGCTTTTTGTAAATCAGAATTGTAAATTTTTAATAAATAAATAAATGCTCATTCCCCTTAGAGACCACAAAGCATCTTAAAACATCATAAACAAAAAAGGCAAAACATGCCTTTGCTGATTTTAGACACAACAGGGTATCTTGTATCTTCTGCCCCCACTACTTTCATTCTCATGTTGCTTATATTTCTTTAAGTGTTCAACCACAATCTCAATCTCAACCACAAATAGCTTTTAGCACCTCCCAACACGATTTGTGTGTGTGTGCCATCAAACATGAATGTTTATGTCAGGATTGACAATGTAACAGACAAGTATCAAACAATAACAACAACAACAACAAAAGCATCTGTGAATACACACTGAGCACTGGTTGTGATCAGTAGCATTGATGGATGTGGTATCAGCTGCAAAGCTGAAATTTCCAGTTGCAATTGCTTCAGTAAAGGCTTTTGTCACTTCCGTCACATTAGGACAGAATCTGCCACAATGGAGCCCTGACTGTGGGGAACAACCATGTTGAAACACAGTCAGTCATACTTAACCAACAAACAACTGAATGACAAAATAGAACAATCAAATGGTCACATGATTAACAAACTGATTAACCAAACAACTATAAAACAAAAACAAATTTGAATCCATCTATTTTGATGAAATTTAAACCAGGTATTTGCGAATTACTAAGTGAATGTAGCCTACTGTTTTACTTGAATTTTCTAATCCTCATGCGGAAGAAGTTTGGAAAATGTCTCTTGTAAATTAGAGTAAACTATAAAAGATAGATAAATAATCATAAAGACATATGTTATTTACATACAAGAGTGTCATTTCTGTTTT